CACGGCCGCCGCTGACAAGGACGAGAAGCCCAGCGCAGTTGCCATCTCGACGCCCATGGACTGGTGTCGCGGCCAAGCCGCCGACGTCGTGTGGTCCACGGTCGACCCGACGTTCCAAGCCAGCGTGCTGCGCCTCGAAGTGTGCAACCAGGCGTGGGACGTACCGACCACGATTGCCGAGCATGCGCCCGCGGACGCGGGCCGCTTTGAGTGGAAGCGCGTGCATTGGGGCATGCCGATCCAAGGCGGGTACTTTATCAAAGCGTACGCCGTCTCGGAGCTCGGCATGCTCGAGCTCGTGGGCGAGAGCCCGCTCTTTTCGATTGTCCAGTGACCGGGCTTGTTATTTAAGCGACGACGCGAGCCAGCCGCGTGGCCCGCACCAGCGTCGCGCCGACGCGTAGTATGCTAGCGATCGCTCGCCATCTCTCTAATATATTATTTCCGTTTACGCCGTGCTTGATACCGGTCTCACGACCCGCTCGTGCGCCTTCGACCTCGTTCATCTCGGCTCGGCTGCGTCTCCCGTCCCGCGCGCGTCGGTAGCCCCACCCATGGACAGGCGGCATAGCAGCATTTCCTTCGGGCGTCCCGTCGCATGCACCGGCGCTCCACCTGAGTCCGCCGGCCCTGTCTCGCGCTCGATCGTGTTCTTGGTCATAATATTGTCTATCAATGGTTGTATATAATGGAGGGTCTATCAACTGTTAAACGAGTCTACGAACAAACCGACAAACCGACAAAGAGGCCGAGCGCTGCAACGTATCTTCGCACGCACACTCGTGCGCTCGGCTCTCGGTCATGGCAAATCCCTTGGCTCTGCCATCCGCGCAGCTGCTCGCGTCGACGATGTCTCGGCTTGGACCGACAACTTGAAAATGTACACTATCCTATTATTGTCTGTGGAAAAAGTTAACCAAGTAGGAATAGAAAAAGAGGTTTAAACTTAGTATGGTACAGGAACAAACTGTCGACATCGGGTCGGTTGCAGCTACAGCGCTGTGCGGCGCGACGCCGCGAGCGTCGTGTTGGCGTGCACGGACGGAAACACGTTTTTGAGAAACTCGGCCATGCGTCGTCGGAGGACACTGAGCCAGCGGCGCAGAACCTAGAGGACGCCTCAGTCGACTCCAGGTCGTACTAGCAGGAGGCGTACCACACGCTTGCGAGGGCGCGTCGAGGCCTTTGGGTCCTTCACAAATGGGTGGGCTAGCACCTAATCCGAGCGTGTCGTCTTCATATTGCACTTTGTCGTCGTCGTACCTGGTCCATGGTGATGCGCATACTCGGGTCAGCAACAAGCATGCGCTCGAGCAAGTCGAGGGCCGGCGCCGGCACCAAATGCACGAGCTTCCACGCCCGGAGCACCGTCGTGATGCCATGCGACTTGACGTACGCAAACACCTATGTCCATGATGCTTCCCATGCAACTCGTAGAGAAAAGGAGGAGTGTACCTTGTCGGTATCGTTGGCCCGAGCGAACGGTGGCGCGCCCGTGAGCAGAATGAGCAGAAGAATACCCAGCGCCCAGACGTCGGCGCCCGATGGGTCGTACGGCTTGCGAGCGTACATTTCCGGGGCCATGTAAAAGGTCTTCCCGACGGCTTGCGCGATGGGCGTGTGGACGTGCGTGGCCAAGCCAAAGTCGCAGACCTTGGGCACATGCCCGTCCATGAGTACGTTCTCGAGCGAGACGTCGCGATGGGCAAAGCCGCGGGCGTGCATGAAGCCAATCGCATCGGCGATCTGGCGAAAGTACGAGGCGGCTAATGGCGCCGGCGACGGCAACGGGTGGGTGAAGAGCTCGCCTTGCGCGCAGTACTCGAAGACAAAGTGCATGTAGCCGTCTTCTTCAAACGAGTCCAGCATCGCCATGATGTTCTTGTGGCGCGGCGCGACCGAGAGCGCGTCGTTGACGGTCTTCTCCATGAGGATGTCCTCGGCGATCGGGACGCCGCCGTCGAGCGAGAGGCGGCGCGTGGCTGCCAACAGCTGCATGCGCTTGATCGCCACGCGCCGGTCGCTGCGCACCTCGGTGGCCAGCACGACGTCGCCGTACAGCGCCTTTGCGAGCACCTTGTCGACCGAGTACGCTTCCATATTGGCGAAGAGATTTTGGCGAATGGCAGTTGTCCAACTGGTATACGAGGCAGCTG